TCACCAAAGTCCATTCATCTGTCCGGAGCCATTTTTTCGGACATGTTTTGACCGATCAAAGACCATTTATGCATATGCATGCTGAATTTGATCAAGTACAATGTATGGCTGGCTGGTGGCCTTTTTAGACCTCCAATTTGCTAAATTCTGATACTTAAACATGTCCAGAACCATTTCCTGGAGATGAACATGGCGGTTTTTGTTCTAACTCTAAAGAGGTACATGTCGATTGGCAGCCATTTTGATTTTATTAATTTTTTTTACAATACCTCACTTATATATCACCTCATTCACTCAAAAGTTTGTACACAAGTACTACATTTGTATACGGCCATTTGGTCTAATAAAATCAATAAATTGCACTCTGCAAATGCGTCTGGAACTATTTCTTGGACATGAAAAGAGATTTTATTCAAACTTTAAGGATTTTGTATATTCAGTTATAGGTGAACAGTAAATTTTTTCTGAGACACAAAAATGGCCGACTGGCAATTATTCTTGTCTATGTTGATTTCTCGCTAATACCATATCACCTGTTTAATTTGAAAGTTTTCTCAAGTACATACTCAATCTCAGACATCCGGTCATTTTCACCGTCTGGCAACAATCATGCTAAAAACAAAAGCCGAAAACTCTGAGAAAACTGTACTTAGTTTTAGAGACTTCCCTGAACAGTGTACAGTAATAAGATTACTTACCCTACATGTCCAACATATATAAATATGGTTGTTCAGGTTGTGCTGATTTCTTGTCTTCAGCTGTTTTCACAAGCTCTTCGACTGGCGTTCCATAGCAGCTCGCACAGAGCTAATAGGAATACATGGTACAATGGTTGCGCGTCTTAGCATTGTAGAACGTTATGTGACGTAGCTTAACTCCAGAGAATAAGTAATACCATGCAGGTTATATTAATTTAAGATTTGTTGGAATAATGGCCATTTTGTTGAAGATTCTAAAGTTGCAGTCTGTAAATTTGTGCAGAACCATTTCTCAGAGATGAATGGAATGATTTCATTCAAACTTTGTATCAAGCTTAAGGTTATGCATCTTGAATTATCGTAAGTTGATAAACATATAATATATTTAGAGATGCATGTGCACTGAAAAAAAATGTTTTGCAGTAGGATTTTATTAGTCCCTGTTCGGACAAAGTCCGAAAACGGGGACTTATAATTCGGTCTCCGTCCGTGCGTCCATGCGTGCGTCCATCCAGAGTCATATCTCAAAATCCCTTGGACTGATTCCGTTCATTCTTTGCATGTGCCTAGTACTTCATGTGGGACATATGCACATGCAGTGGTTTAGCGATTCGATTCAAAATGGCCAACTGGCAGCCATCTTGTTTTTTGAAAATGTTGTATTTTGGACATGCTTTGTTAGTTTTCATTCAATTTTAGTACATAGATCATACATGTTAGGATACATGTCCCCGATCATCCGTGAGTTCCTGAGTCTGTCCGTCCGTCCGTCCGTCCGTGTGTCCGTGCGTCAGTCTGTCCAGAGTCATATTTCAGAATCCTGTGGACCGATTCCGTTCAATCTTTGCATGTGCCTAGTACCTTATGTGGTACATATGCACATGCAGTGGTTTAGCGATTCGATTCAAAATGGTTGACTGGCAGCCATCTTGTTTTTTGAAAATGTTGTATTTTGGACATGCTTTGTCAGTTTTCATTCAAACTTGGTACATAGATTATACATGTTAGAATACATGTCCATGACGATTTATTTCGCAATTGGATCAAAGATGGTCGACTGGTAAGCATCTTGTTTGATTTTTTTATGTGGTATCTTGGATGTGCTCTGTCAGTTTTCATTCAAATTTGACACATACATGTATTTTATACATGTTAGGATGCATGTCCATGACAATTTGTTTCAAAATCTGGTCAAGGATAGCCAATTGACAGCCATCTGACTTTCTGGCCTTACTACTTCCACAATTTATGTACCATTTTCATTCGTATTTGGCACATACATCATACATATCAGTGTGTTTCATAATCAGATCAAAGATGGCCGAATAACGGCTGTTTTTATTTACTACTACACGGAACACGTGTTTTGATGTAAATAAACAATCTGTTGTATACGCCACTTGGAACTCAAGTTTCAAGGACACGCTCACAACAATCCCTCCGCTTTAATATGACGAGCTCGAAGAAGACTTTCAAAAATTTAACGGGGACTGTGTCATTTTTAATGACTTGTTACAGCTGTTTCTGTGCATTGGCTTACATGATTTCATTTAAACTTAGAACAGTCATTCTACATACTGAATTTTGGTTGCACATAACATTTTTTATTGATTTAATCAAATATGCACAGCTCATTACAGTACATTCGAACTATACATTTAGGAACTAGGTACAATATTTAGGTGACAGTGCCCCTCCACCTGTTAACTACATTATTACAGTACATTGCCTGGATTGACTGATTATATCACGCCACTATATAGCCAAAATATACTGGATGCACTCCTAGATCGATGCTTGTGATGAACTTTCTCATTTAAATATGCAACAGGGGTTGTTTTACCAAATGTTCATTACTGGCAGCTTTACGATTTGTTGCATATTATGGTATCAGTAATTTATCTTAGATGGCATTTTTGATGAACACTTGATGAATTATACAACTTTATTAATTATTACAAATGATTGGTTCAATTTATATTTTAGTGTAATTTTACACAAGCGGAAATTAATAATGAGACCAGGTAGTTAACAGTTAGGAAATAATTTCCGCAATGGAGTAAAGAATTAAACTTGGTAATTGCTTGACAATCATCATTAAATCGCCTCCTATTTATTTAGGGACAAAAACAGTGATTTTGAGCTTTCCTAGAATACAGCTGAAGATTATGAGGCTAATATCAGTGTTGATGTTTTTGTTGACTTTTCTTGTGGTAATGAAACTTTGGTAATTTTTTATCAGATCTGAACCTGCCTGAGATGGTCAGTGAAGCGTTGTGAAGCGTGTATCTGTTTTCAGTGGCGGGCACTTAGCCATTTGATTCCTTCCTGAAAATAATTCTTTGTACAATACTTTAATAGACATTTCAATAATTGGAAATGTATTGCTTGTTAATGGAATACTGCGTAGGTACATGTATTGCTTGTTAATGGAATACTGCGTAGGTACATGTATCTGTCTGCCCTACACATAACCTGTCTATTGCTACGTTCACACTTTATCGGAGCCCAACGACTCGAGCCGTCTCAAGCCAGCAAAAATGGCCATGTAAACATGTTCGGCTCGAGTCAAGTGCGGCTCCACTAAACCCTCGGGGTTGAACTCTGATAGGGTCGAGTCCCGACATGGCTCTGATCGTGTAAACGCATCGGGGCCCAAGTATCGGAGCCGAAATCACGCCCTCAATCGTCTTCTTCGAGTAATCTCTCATTTCAATTATGGTGGAGACAACAGCTTTCATAATTTCAAGAAATTTCCCGCATGAATAAGAGGTACGCATCCTAATGTATAGTGACGAATCATTGCGATAGATTGATAGCTCAATGGGAAACGAAAAATGGCGTACGCAATTATGCGACAAAAACTTGAAAGAACGACTGAACGGAAACTTTTTAAAGACACTAAAGATAAAAATCGTAGAAGCGATCGCGGTACGATGACGTGTTCCTGGTAGGTTTAGATTCTTCCATAGTCCCTCTATGATAGATAGAGAGAATCTGTGATTCTTCCTAGTAGTTTAGATATCACTACAGTTGAATAGTTACAAAATGGTAATTTTGCATGACAATAACTTGAGCGAATAGGCTGTATTAAACGCATTTTAAACGTGTTTCCTGTTTATTCGAGATACGTACTAGTACCTATAAAATCATAATACCAGTCATTGTCCTTTTTACCTCCATGGTCAGGCTCTTTTTTTCTCCTAGCTCAACATCATCATGCCATGTAAAGAAAAAACACAAGCACGGCACTAAAATCGTTTTCAGTCACTAATTATTCAAGGGCACTGTTCCGTTTGACTCTGATCGAACTGAATCCAAC